ATATATATAATATATTAATATATATAATAAATCAATGCTCTTTCTTATTGTTCTTAATTATGTAGCCACTCAATTTATTTATGTTAGTATTGTCATAATAAAATAACTCAATAGATATACATATAACGTAATACATATACATATTAACATTATAGACGGTAGTCTTTTATACGAGAGGGTACCAAATAAACCTGAAGTGGACAGACTCACATTGACGCCACCCCAGCCACAGCCTGTCATGTCGACCCAACAGAATATCTTGAAACGCCCCAGATCGTTCGATGAAATTAACGGCTCAGATGGTGAGTTTCATTATTTTGATTCGCACTATTTTATTAATCATTAACGATAATAAGAATCAATTATTGAATAGGCAATATAAATGCTGTAGACACCATTTTTTTAAATGTCAAATTGTTATTATAAGTAATAAAATTTGTATTTTCATTTCAAGAAGCGTCTAAGCAAAAATCCGTTAAAATTACTTGTGTATCTCTCTATGTAGAATTATGAACGGATAGAATCTTAAACCAATAATTATTAACCCGATAAATAGGATTTTTATAATTGTACACTAGCACATGTTAAATAAATAAAAAAATCATATTTTGATGCGCTATCAAACCGATAATCGGTAACACATAAAAAACGATATTTTACAAATATAGTTGTACTTGAGAATTCTTTAAAACTGTCGGGAGTCTTTGTTTACTCGTTTTTAGGTATCGCCCTGAACTCAGGGCTTCCTTCTGGTGCCCCGCCCGCGAAAAGAGCTCATCATCCGCAGCAACTGCATCCGAAGCACACGCTGGAACATCCCACGCCTGCAGTTCTTCCTCTCGCGCCGCCTCTTAATGGCAGGGCCTCTCATCCGTTGCCTCACGGTCCACCGTTATCCAGAAGTAACGCACGTAAGCAAGTCATGTCGTGGATGGACGCACCCGATGACGTGTACTTTCGCGCCACCGAACAGATTAAGTTAGTATAAAAGTCAGATGGATTATCAAAGAAAACAAACTAATTTCCAAGAACAATTAATGTAAAGCAGTGTGTAAATGCAAGCAAGTCTTCAGTCTCTGATTATAAATTTATCGACTAATGAAAAAGATTTCAAAGAAATGTAATTACGTGCAGAAAGGAACGAATATATATTAGTTGCGATTAGTTTATTCTCGTTTGGTCAATTCAATTTTTATGTTTCTTAATAATATTTATAAGTTTTGGTACAAGAATTTTTTCATCGTAATATTCTAGCAATTGCGATTATAATGTAATGTATACTTTTAGTATGTGTGTGCTAATTCTTCGATTTATCAAATTACAGAAGAGCTAGAAGAGCTCTGTCTTCGGTGGAGTTACGAAGAGCAGCGCGCAAACCGTGGCGCAGAATGTCGTTCCCCCTGAATCCACTTCACCTCCAAAGAGCAGGTCGCCAAGACGAAACGGTTGTCATCTTGGACTGAATTCGAACAATCAAGATGAACACAATCGAATGACATTGTATGTCGGTTCGCTAATCGCGAAGCATGACTCTGTTAACGTAATCTTTAACAAGTGAAACTACATATAGTGAAAAGGTCACAGTTTCGTGTATTGTCATCGGCAGCTCCGATGGATCAAATAACAACTGCTAACTTTAAAATCGAAAGATCCTAAAAGTTCTATGACAAAATTTCCTCATTGAAGCTGAGCAAGTCGTAATAAAAAAAAGGCCTTGCTTGACCGAACATGCATGTTGAACAATCGAGAAAATCGTTGAACTCTAACGACTTTACTAAGTATGAAGAATTATTGTTCAGCAAACTAAGTCATACAACGCGAAACATGATTTTTTATTGTATTAATTATTGTTGTTATTAATAATAATTATATTAATTGAATGTACATATACTACACATAGCCATGTAACACACACATACACACACTTGGTTTATATAACATGATATATATATATATATATATACATAACACAGACACACACACACGCATACATATACACATATTTCACACACATTTAATATATACATTGACACATCCAAGTACCGAAAAGGTACGAATTTAATAGCGATGAAAAATATTGGCCGCTACCTGCTCATGCCGATTAAGCTCATAAATAGCTGTGCACAGAAAACACAATAGTGATACAACTTTCGATTAACATTTGGAACAAGTATACTTTTGAGTATAACATATTAGCATAATACAACATTATACTTTAAATGTACTTCGAAATTTGTACCAATATGTTTTAGAGTTATTTAATTATTGTATTTTCTGGACATAACCAATGTTACGGTAACCATGCAGGTAACAGAGACGAATGTCTGATTGGAAGTGAATGCGTAAGAAAGAGAAAGAGAGCGAGTGAGAGTGCACGCGCGCGAAAGAGAGAATATGTAATCGAATAAGAGAATATGTAACCGAGTGAGAGAGTATGAATTAGTATGTATGGGAGACAGAAAGAAGGAATGCTCATTGTGAATATTTTTATTAAATTTTCAAATTTGATGACTTCCGTCTAAAAAAAATAATAAATAAACATAAGCATAAGTGAAAAAATATCTTAATCATATACTTGCTGCATCATTGATTCTTGTTCTAAAAAAAGTTAATTTACACGCAAGAAGTTTTGGTATTGCGATATTATCGACATTGAGAAATTCTGTGTTCAATAAATTTTCTCTTGATGCATTCCCTAATTCCTATTCCTGAAGCAGCTAACATAATTACGAATCTTATTTTTACACTGAATAAATTCATCATTTGGACTATTCTGACACTCTTAAAGTTTGTATCACAAATAGATTTTGCATCGCATTTAAATTATGTTTCTCGTGTCAAAATTTAAGATTTTGTTCTTTGTTTTGTACTCGAAGGATTATTTTATAAAATACTAGAGTATATTCGCTTACATGATATAAATTGTTTTGTCAGTCACGCTCTAATAGAATTGCTAGATTCAATTTGAATCATGGACGTTACAACATTAATTTGTTATTACCGATTATATTTAAAAATCTAATCTTTCGTTCATGAGAAAAATAATGAAAAAGTAAGTGTATAGTCCATATGACAGCATTCTAGTTACTCTTTACAATTTGAGTTTATTCTGTTGAACCAAACGGTCAATATAAATGTTTCTGATGGTCACTTAGAAATTTACATTATCGATGTACTTTTGGTAATATAAAGAAACAATTATAATTCATTATCCGTAATTTCTAAACGATTAAAATTATTTTGCTACAATTGGAGTTGAGGGAATGCTGAAGCCATCTGTATTACCGATAAAATTAGCGTTTTTGATATTTCCGTTCCTGTCTAATTTCTTCGTAATAGTTTCGCAGAATAACAATTTCTTCTCCACGATTTAAATATTTAGGCTAATGAACCTGCCCCTGTTGTATTTTGTACCCGAAGCTGGAAAAAGTATGAAATCGTAGATTTCTTTATCCATTTAATCTCAGTAATCTTTAACCATTAAGTGAAACTACGACCAACGCAGAAGATAAAAATAGATATAAAAAAATTTGTAATTTTTTTCATATTTTTTCCGGCTTTGAACACAATATAGACCAGGGGCAGATACATTAGCATGAATATTTAAATCGCGGAAAAGGAATTCCTTATTCTGTGCAAAACTATTATAAAGTAATTAAACAGGAACGAAAACGTTAAAAATGCTAGTCTTATCGATAATTAATACAGGCGGGTCCAGCATCACTTTAATGATATATTGGGTGTACAGCAAGGTTGTGCCGTAGATTTTAAGATTACGTCTACACGGATTATTTATGTGAAATCTGCATAATGATTACATGCGATCTTTTTGCTATATAGCTATGCAAACTATAAAAATCTATAGTGTACGTAATACAAACTATAACTATAGATTGTTTAGGAAATTCTTTAGGAAACGTTTGTAAATTATATTAATCAAGATTTTATAAGGATTAAATTAAGGTAAGTGTATAACTCTTAATTATTACTCTCTTTATATTATATATTTTACATATACATATATACAATATGTAATATACAGTATATACTTGCGAACATTAAGTATTTGTAGAAATCTAATAAGATTCTTATTGTTAAACATATATTGTATTTATTTGTTCTTTTGGGTGCATAGATCCATCACTTCCATATAACGTTCGCAACGCTCGCAAGCATCATTTCATCCTTGTTTAACATTTCAAAACATAAGAATGAAATAATGATTTTATGAAATTTGCAAGCATCAAGTGATACGCACTATAATCTCAAATGGCTGATTGAAACTGATTGTGAGACTGTATTTCACACTCCTTATACGGAAGAATCAAAGTGAGCAACAAAACTAATCGATATGGACTTGCACACGCGTCCGCCTTCTTTTTTTTTCTTCTCGCGAAACTCTCTCTTATTGACGTTAATTTTATTAATTAATTTCAGAGAAGACGTTATTATCGCAGAATAGAGGAAACAGAAAATATAATGTATTTTCTCATTTAAGAAATAATAATGACATATTAATAAAATTGCGCAGTTACGTATTTCAACAACAAAAATACCACGGATCGTATCACGCATTATTGAGTCAACACATATAATTAAACAATGAAATTTTATTGAAATTGGAAACATGTCAATATTCATATTTTCTATAATAAGAAATAAGAATTAACGGAAAAGAGGATTGGTATAGCGCTGGATGTCACAAGCAGAGAATAATAAGTTATTCCGATAGAGATTTGGGGCCCCTTAGTCCCTTATTCGCTCTACGACGCGACGCTTGGACAGGCCTGAGTTTAGGCGGAGCCCTGACGTCTATCCTTTGTTGTTTACGTTCTGTCTCGCTCTGTGGAGACGGCGTGGAAGTGGAAGCGTTTAGCTCACAAGCCGTGTATTGGACAGATGCTTGATCAAGAGCAATAATTAATATGTTTGGATCTATGGCGTCTAGACATATAGCCATAGATCCAAACTTCGATTCTGAAATGTATTTAAATGAGTTTATTGATGCTTCTAAAATTTACACAATAAAGAAAATATAAAAACTATTTCGACACAAGCAATAGATACCACTAATACTGATATCTCGATAAATTGCGTACCACAAAATTTGTAAATTAAAATTAAATCATATATTTTATTTGAATTTAGGCCAAATTGACTGAAAAAAAATGAAAAGAAAAATTTCTAATGGTTGCTACATTTGAGGCACAAACTAGCTCACATCCAACTAAAACCCCCACGGAGACTTTTCGGTTACACAGCTAAAATACTGTTCGTAGGTATACAGAATATATGGAAATAAAACGTTTTTTTTTTTTCAACTATAATATAGAGAAACAAGGCAATGAGTCAATAAAACCGTTAAAATCTTTTTAAAATTAATGTAATATATAGATATATTTGTTTTTTTTTTCAATTTTCATTTATACTTTTTCGTTATAAATATTGAATATTTTAATTTCTTGAAACTAGGAAAATATTTCTCACGAGAAGTAATTTTATTTTTGAGATAATAAAAAATGTTTTGCTTCAAGAATACCGATTCTCTATGTGATTAAATATTATTAATATTTAATAGAATAGCAGTTACAATGGCATTGTTGCACGGAATGCCAGAGATCCGGGTTCAACTCCCGGTCGAGATATTTTTCACAGGAAAAAATTAATTATTTACAGTTTTTAATAGGTTTTTCAACATTAGTAAGATCGATATGAGATGCGTAAACAGCATCAATAATTGTTAAATTGGTAGACAATTTAACTCGTGATATTACTGTCGTAGCTTATTAGTATTGCGTTTCAAGTTTGAAAATTTCGGTGCAATATAATCGAAGAATTACATTCGTAGTATATAAATTTACACACAATTATTTAGACGTCAATATCGAGCAAAAATATCTACTATGAATATATTCAGATATTTTAGAACTATTTAAATATTCATTCCGAATGAATAGACATTTATATCGCACAACGATAGATTTAAAAAAAAAAACGCCACTTTCTTTTAAAGTTTACAAACGAAGATATGTAAAACTTGATATTTAACTCTGAATTATAATCGTCTAAAGCAAACTCACGCACAAGTTGCCATATACATATACATGTATACGTATAAGTTTGTATATTAGCAACTTGTGCGTGAGTTTGTTTTAGACGCGATTCTAAGATGTTCTAGAATCTTCTTTTCTTGAGAGATTGACCCGTCAATATACATCTTTGTATACAAAATTATACTAGAAAGTTCCATAAAGAGGAAATTTTATTAATTTAAATGTGTGTGTGTGTGTGTGATTTCTAGCTGTGATTTCTAGATTCTGATTTCAAAATGCCTATTTTGTACAAATATTTTCATAAAGTGCGCAGGTGCAAAATATCGGGCATCATCGGCACGTGATATCGTTCGCGCGCGGGTCGTTTCTCGCTCGGAGCGCTGCCATGAAGACAAGGGTATGCTCTTGCGCATCGATAAATCACGTTACTGTCAACTGGCCAATCAGAATTGTCACCAAGTTACGTCATCATTACGCGGTAATTTCGAAATTATTATAATTTCTTTGCAATGTACATTATAAAAAATTACTATTTTACTATTTTTATAAGTGTCAGCATAAAAAAATAATCTTTTATTGAATTTTTTGTAATACATTAATACGCATTACTTTACTGAGATGTGAGATACAAAGTATAATATGTTTAAGTAGGTATATGTAAAGTTCATTTTGGACGGAAAAATTGTATGAAAGTAATATTTTATTAATTAAGTATGAAATAAACTTGTATGAAATAAACAAAAATTAATCTTATTATTATATTAAATTAAATTTTAATGATAACACATGTAAATTAATGTATATATTATATTTAATACATAAATTATTTTATTAAATTGA